TCATATTGCTCATAGACACTCCACAGCCAATAATAAGTACATGGAGACGTACGATGAGTCGTCTGAAAACAAGTACCTTATGTACCTCGACGCTAACAATTTATATGGCTGGGCGATGTCACAACCACTACCTAATGGAGAGTTTGAGTGGGTCGAGGAAGTTGATGGTATGAATCTGGATGATTTCCTTGGAGACAGCGAAAGAGGGATGGTTCTAGAGGTTGACCTGGAATATCCCAAAGAACTTCACGATTTACATAACGGTTATCCTCTAGCACCAGAGAGTAAAGAAATTGATTCTTCCATGTTGTCAAGTTATGCGAAGAGTATTGCTGAGAAATTCCAACTGACAATTGGAGGAGTAAGAAAACTGGTAAACTCACTTGGTCCCAGGAAGAACTACGTCTTACATGTACGTAATCTGAAACTCTATACAGACCTTGGAATGAAACTCACAAAGGTTCACAGAGCAGTCACATTCAAACAGTCTCCTTGGCTTAAAAACTACATTGACTTCAATACAAAGAAACGGTCAGTAGCTCGTAACACGTTCGAAAAGAACTTCTTCAAGTTGATGAATAATTCGATTTACGGAAAGACTATGGAAAATTTAAGGAAACGAGTTGATGTAAAATTAGTGTCCTCAAAAGAGGACCTCCTAAAACTGACAGCATCACCGTGCTTCCAGTCACATCGAATCATGAACGAGAACCTAATAGTTGTAAAAAGAATTAAGGAAGTTCTGACGCTAAATAAACCGTGTTATGTAGGAATGAGCATCTTAGACTTATCCAAGACTCTGATGTACGATTTCCATTACAACACCATCAAAAAGGAGTACGGTAACAGGTCAAGGCTACTGTTCACAGATACTGACAGCCTTATGTATGAAATAAAGACGGATGATGTCTACGAGGACTTCAGGAGGATCGGTGAAGAGCAAGACTGCTGGGATAATTCTGATTACCCAAAAGATTCTCCGTACTACTCAACTCACAATAAGAAGGTTATTGGTAAGTTTAAGGATGAAGCTGAAGGAGTACCAATAATTGAGTTTGTTGGGTTGAGGTCGAAGATGTACTCATATGTGAAAGAAAATGGTGGAGGTGGAATGACCGCCAAAGGAGTCAAAAAGTATGTCATCAGAAATAAGCTCACTCATGAGAACTTCAAGAATGTAATTAAGACGAAAGGTAGGATGAGACATAATATGAACACAATCAGGAGCATCAAGCATACAATTGGAACTTACGAAATGAGGAAGGTCACTCTGAGTTGCTTTGATGATAAGAGGTACATCTTGGAGGACGGAGTTACCAGTTATGCTTACGGACACTACCTGACAATGAAGGAGGCAGTCGAATGTAAAGTTGAACCTGTAAGTGAACTGATAAGAGTCGGAAGGCTACCCGGAGAATTCACCCAAGAGGAAGCGAATCGGATGATAATAGAAAGGTTGAAAAATAAGTGCAGAAAATTACGGCCCATTCGAAGAACTCTAGCAGATCTTATACTAGCTAGAAATAATAAGGACACATTACCACCTGAATACGAAGGTTACACAGAAGCTCTAGTAAACGAGGCTAGGGCGTATGGAAAGTAGCTGTTAAAGCGCTGATTGGGAGGTTTTTATGAAAGGGTGTGTGTACCCTCAGAGGGGGAAACAAAAGATGTTGAAAAGGCTTTGGAATAGAGGAATTGAATAAGATTGGTGGAGTTGAAATTTGAAGATCTGAGAAAAGTGGACCGTTCTAATTTAGGAAAAAAATCTAGCGTTTCAGAAAAACCAATATGGTCTAGAAAATAAAATCATAAGTAAAATATGAGAATTTAGACAGAGAATTGGTTTACGATTGCGAATCGTAAAAAAGTCGAGTGGTCTAGACACGCTAGTTCCTATACTACTATCCTCAGTTGAGGAGTCGTCTTATACCCTCTTGTTTGAGGAGTTGTCTTATATCCTCAGATTGAGGATTTGTCTTAACTTTTGGCTACACACGGCTGGTGGTGCGGCGACTCAACCTGTCAGCCAGGCCAGCCGCTGTGAAAATTATTATCCATTCTCATATTTTCCTAGACAATGAGAAACTATTTTTTAGCAGAAGGGTAGTACCGTTTTGGCGCTTGCCCTCCTTTAAAAGTTATGCTACTCTCTTTAAGCTTTCTCGTTTAGAATGCCACCTAAAAAGTCGCAAGCGAGGAAGCGAGCCCTTCAAACGGCAGGCGAAGGCCATCAGCGCAACGCAGCCGTCGTCAATCAACTAGGAACTCGACGTTGGCGTCCCGTTCGACTGTAGTTGTGGCAGCCGAAGAAGATTCCAGTGGTATACCGCCGTCCAATGTGCCTCCTACCACGGTTCAGCAACTCGATCCCGAACTGGTCCAATCAATAGTGTCTACCGTTGCAGCGGAGGTCACCCGACAACTGGCAGCGACTTTACCAGCCCTCACTTCGCCAACTGACGAGTTTCCAGCGACTCGAAGCGTTTCAACGACGCCAGAACCAGCAGAGGAGCGTCGTTTGTCTGCGCCACCATTGCCTGCAAGTTCAGCCGGCGCCACGACTCTGGTGGAGGGAGCGATAGCTGCGGCTCACTCTAGGATAGCAGGTGCGCCTCAGTTATTGCCTACTAATGTAATTCCTCCTAGCGTTAGTACTCCTAGCAACATTTTTCTTTCGGCGAGTTTGCCGATTGACTGTCAGATTTCCTCAAAAATTAAAGAAAAAATTTGGAATGAGGAGTTCGTTGATTTTGGATCGTTGTTGAGCAATCCGGGGCAGGAAAAATACCAGATTTCGGTCCAAAATTCCGACGCCGGAACCCCGGCTTCATTTTGTCTCGAACCAATGTCGCGAACTAAAAAAATCACGTCCATCGAGGTTTGGCAACGGCTTTTCATATTTTTGTTGGCGTTTACACGCAAAAAAACCCACATGAGGCCCCCGCTCTCATGAAATATGGGCAAACTATTCGGGACTTGGCTGTGCGCGGTCAGAACTGGCGTTATTACGATGAAAACTTTAGATATTTACGACGCACGCAGGCGAGCCTGGTCCCTTGGGGTTCGATACACGGTGAGCTGTGGTTGCGTTCGCAATACCCAGTTAGAGCGCCGCCGCCAAATAAACAAATGAGCGGAATTTCAAAAACTGTAGGCCCTTCAGTGCCTTCAGGATTTTGTTTCAAATTTCATCGCGGGCAGTTTTGTGCAACTGACAGTTGCGGTTTTAAGCATACTTTCTTTAAATGCAAGAAAGGTACGCATCGTGTGAGTCAGTGTAATTTTCGTGGCTCAACCAGTAAATCAAACGCCAGTGCTGTCCGTCAAGCCAAGTCTCCCAACACCAGTCAAGCTCAAACCTCTAGTTAAGTATCTTTCTGGTTATCAGCCAGATATTGTTAAATATATTATTTCCGGATTTTCATCAGGTTTTCCATTACATTTCGAAGGACATCGACAATTTTTTATACCAAAAAATTTACCTTCGGCTTTACAAAATCCTACACATGTAGACAGGAAACTGGAACAAGAGTTGGCTGCAAACCGAATAGCCGGTCCGTTTACGTCTCCTCCATTTCACTCTTTTTGTGTTTCACCGCTTGGCCTAATTCCAAAGAAAATTCCAGGTGATTTTAGGCTGATTCATCACTTGTCCTTTCCGAAAGGAATTTCGATAAATGATGGAATAGCTTCAGAGAACACACATGTTCAATATGCCACGGTCGCCGATGCTATAAGACTTATCAAACGCGCGGGACCGGGCTGTTATTTGGCCAAAACTGATATCAAAAGCGCATTTAGAATCATACCGATTCAACCAAACGACTACCCTTTGTTAGGGCTGAAATGGCGGGGACTATTTTATTACGACCGCTGCATGCCAATGGGTTGTTCCAGTTCGTGTAAGACATTTGAAATTTAGCACAGCTATTGAATGGATTGCTCGACATAAGCTCGACGTCGACGAGCTCCTCCACTTATTAGATGATTTTCTTTTTGTTTCTGCTACATATATTCAGTGTCAATCGAATTTAAGTCGTTTTATTTGTTTATGCAACCAACTTGGCATCCCTATAGCACCAGACAAAACGTTTGGCCCGTCCACTACTCTAACCTTTGCTGGTATAGAGTTGGACTCTATTAAGTCCGAAGCGCGTCTACCGAGAGATAAAATTGCGAAATGTGTAGAAACTATCGAAGCATTTTTGAAACGCAAAAAAGTACAGCTGGGAGAGCTACAATCTTTGATTGGGCTCCTAAATTTCGCGACGAGCGTTATAACACCCGGTACTGCCTTTCTCAGGCGTTTTTACGATCTCACGCAAGGTGTGACAAATCCACATCATTTTATACGATTGCGTTCTGAGGCTAAGGCCGACTTACGGGTTTGGTTAGCATTTTTATCTTCGTTTAATGGAGTTTATTTTTTTCGAAACGAAATTTGGGAAAATTCGATTAAATTAAAGTTATTTACCGATGCGGCCGGCTCTATCGGTTTCGGCGCGATTTTTGGCAATGCTTGGTGCTATGGGCGATGGCCTGATCATTGGTTGCATCGTAACATCGCTATTTTGGAGTTCTATCCTATCGTCCTCAGTTTATGCCTATGGGGCAACAAAATGCGAAATCATTCTATTTTATTTTTTACCGATAACGAAGCACTAGTTCATGTTATTAACAAACAATCATGCCGGGATAAAATTTTAATGGTTTTTGTTCGTAAGTTGGTCCTAGTCTGCTTAGAACACAACATTGCGTTCAAGGCCAAACATATTCAGGGTACTCATAACAAGTTAGCTGATAGCTTATCTCGATTGCAGGTTCAAACTTTCAAACAACTGGCACCAGCGAACATGAATCCGTTGCCTACGGACATACCCCTGCACTTGCAGCCTCGAAGCTGGGCGATATAATTACGCATTTGACAACATCTAGCATACAGCCCTCGTCAATTCCTACTTACACTAGAGCTTGGAAACTGTTTACTCAATTCCACAGTACGTTGTTTCAGACAGCAGGCTTCAGCTTGCCGATAATGCCTGCTACTATGGCGCTTTTTATCGCATATTTATTCGAGCGAAATTATGCATCGTCGACGGTTAATACATACATATCAGCTTTAAGTTATTCGCACAAACTGTCAGGATTACCAGATCCCACGCGAGTATTCTATATCATGGAAATGTTAAAAGGCTATGGCAAAAATGGTGCACGGCTAGATAGTCGTTTGCCAATAACATTACCCATCCTGAGAAGCTTACTAGAGGTGTCACCTCGCATTAATGGTTCTAATTACCAAATATGTCAATTCAAAGCGATGTGTCATTGGCATTCTTTGCATTCTTAAGGATTGGGGAAATTACTACAACAAAGAATAACGGTTGCCAGCCATTACAGTTACACAATCTCGCTTTCAGTTGTGACTCGAATAACCGAGTGGTTGGTATCAAATTAACCTTTCACGATTTCAAGCATAATTACAACCAACGTCCATTTACATTGATAATTAACCGGCAAAGTACTTGTTGTCCTATTCAATTACTCCTTGACTATCTCGCCCTACGGGGCGACACCAAGGGTGCAATCTTCATCACGCGCGGCGGAATAGCAGTAGCTCGCGAGGCATTTGCTTTACAGCTGTCTGAAGCAATACGACTGTGTGGTCTGGACCCAGCTCGCTACAAAGGGCATAGCTTTCGTATTGGTGCAGCCTCGTACGCGGCAAGTCAGGGGATGTCCGATTCGCAAATTCGTATCATCGGTCGATGGAAATCTAATGCATTCCATAAGTATATTCGAGTTTCATCAATGTCTGCTAAATAACTGAGAAATTCATATATAGATATATATATATATAGTACTTATGTATAGCACATCCGTGCGGCCTGGCACTAGCGGGGAGTGTCTGGGTCGTGCTTCAACTTGAGACTTGCTTGCACGGGCGGCAATCTCTTTCACAGTGCCTTCCATACGTTCTATCTATATTTATCGAGGTTAATCAATGCACGAGGTCACCAAGTGAGTATGACGTCTTGCATTCGTTTTCCCAGTCAATTGACACTGAGTATATGGTAAAGATTTAATTGTATTAGTACGTATAACTGAGTTTAGGCTTTTGTCGAGGGTCGAGTGTCGAGGGTCCAATGTCGAGGGTGAGGGTAAAAAGTCGAGGGTGAGGGTAAAAAGTCGAGGGTCATAAAAAAAGTCGAGGGTCGAAATTTGCGGGTAAAATAACTTGTTTAATGTTGTGACATGGACTTATCATATATATGTATGCAGAACTACATTAAGTTTTAAAAGATACTACTTTGCGTAAATTTTCTAAGCGATTATTTTCTAAGCCCCTTCACGCTCGCAAGTTAACATGTTTATTTCTAATATGAGAACGGTCTCTTTGCTTTCTTATCAAATTAAACGTAACAGCATAGATTATCGAGCAGCTGTAATCATCAAGCCAGTAATGGCAATACATTAAGGCAAAATATATTACCAGTGGCAAATTATGATAAAAAAACAACTTGTGTAGTTTTCTGCTAGATCGGAGCGCGGTTAGCGCGGTGCAGACATGCCACTGTTTCAACTAGAAACCAATTAATTAACGCTAAATGATTCAGTCGATATTACTCGTCTCACGGCCAAATATTGTCATTGACCAACCTCGCAAGCACACCTGCGACGGGACGGAGACCTTTGTTTGATGCGAGGTTGAACATTGCCATTGGCCTGTTTATGAAATTGTACTACGTTTAGAAACTCTTTTAAGACTTTTAAGTTAATATTGATAATAAATGCTCTTTGACTTTGCTTTTAATGAAAAAATTCCGCCTTTTTCTGAAAAAAATACCTTAATCAAAAGTGGCCTGGAGACATTACACGCTAGAAGACATGCTGCGTGCGTGAAACCTTTTAACCAGACGACCCAAATCATCAACTTAATGAGTTAGTTTCTAGACCAGAATTCTCCCTTAATTCATGATTTACATAAGGAGAAACACCGTTTTAAAAACTCTTTTATCGTTAGTAGTTGTCTTAGTTGTCGTAAAAATACAACCCTCGACTTTTTACCCTCACCCTCGACTTTTTTTACGACCCTCGACTTTTTACCCTCACCCTCGACTTTTTACCCTCACCCTCGACTTTTTACCCTCACCCTCGACTTTTTACCCTCACCCTCGACATTGGACCCTCGATACTCGACCTTCGACAAAAACCTAAACTCCGTATAACTATCTATATTGTGTGCGTCTAATCTCCCGCGGTTTGCACGGGCGATCGTTAGGGGTTCGACCACATA